TAATGAGAGGCCCCAGATAAGGTTTATTTGAGCAGCTGGTTTTCGGGAAAATAGGCTAATCAAATGTTTGGGCGAGAAACGAGCACACACAGCGGTTTAAGATCTGGAAGATCAGAGGGTTTGGAGACGTTTTCACATTTCAGGAACCAATGTCTGGCAAGCGAATTATATAAAGATCCACGGTCAGAGGAAAAATAGGACAGTCATTTGCTCTTCATTTCTGGTGCCAGATTTAGGGGGAAATTATCCTTTCCATGCAGCACTAGGTATCTTTGTGCTCTAGCTGCTTTGCTAGCTGTTTCCATGGGTTGCTCATTCAAACCTTTCTGCCGAGGACCTGAAAGGGGGTGAAAGAAGGAGCCTGGCTCCCACCATGGGCCAAGAACAGCTCCTCACAGGCAGAACCGCATGGTGATCGCATGGAGACGGGGACCTGGAGGGGTTTCAGTGCTGCAGATGGTGAAATCTGTGTTTTGGGTGATATCTATTTGTTGGGAACTGCCTTACAAGGATATAATCCCAATGACACCAAGTAGTCACCCCGTGGGCACAGGGGTCTCACAGTCTGGAGCTCCACAAGGAGAGGGGAGGATATGGGCATGGTAGGATGCCCAAGCTCAAAAGCTGTCTCCATGACTGAAAAAAAACCACATTCCCTGAAAAAACCCACATTCCCTTCTTTCCCAAACCCGAGGGAAGCGGAGGAGGCTGAACTCCCATGGGAAAGAGAAGAGAGGCAGGGACAGGAGCCAAAAAAGTGAGATAAACCTGCCACGAGAACACACGTGGGTGAAGCCAGGAACTGGGCAGCACAAAAACACATAGACCAACAGCATCAGTGTGTCCTCACGCTGCCACCTGCTCCAAAGTGACAGGCTCGGCACCAGGGCCAGCAGCTGACCATAAAGCCCTATGTCCCTCCAGCAGGAAACTGCTTCCCATGGATCCTTTGCTCCTTCCAGCACCAGTGCCCAAAGCGGGACCTATTCCTGAAGGCAGGCACAGGGCGAGCGACCACATCTGCTATTTTTAGAGCAAACAGTCAGCGCTCCACATGCATAAACGGTTACCAGTGCTCCGCTTTGAGGTATAAATAGCTCTTGTTTGCGTTTAGAAATAAATTGGTTTAAAAAAAGAAAATTGCTTTCCCTAGTCACCCTCATCCCAGATCTGATGAGCACAGGGGCTGTTTTTTCTCTCCAAATGAAAAATGAAGTTGCACATTTCCCCTAAGCCGGTCTGCGCGGAAAGCTCACGATTGCTGCTGTTATGAGAGCCGTCATTCTCTGTGCCGAGGCAGGCACGGAAAACAAAGCAGAGGGCTAAACACGGTGCAAAAAAACCCAAACCCCGGGAGCCTGAGCTGCAGGTAGCGATTTGGTGAAGAATGAAGCAATTTGGGCTGTAAGAGTTAATAGAAAAGGAGCAGAACTGCCGCCCCAGGGCCCAGGCGTCGGCCCGGGGGAGGCCCCACGCGCAGCCGCGGATCGAGGCTCATCCGGGGACTGCGGGTTCGAGTCCCGGTGCCGGCCACGAGCTCCCGCGTTCCCGACCGCGGCGCATGCGCGTTGTGCGCGCCGCGCCGGGGAGGGGGCGGTGCTAGCGTCGCGGCGT